CTCTTCAAGAGCTTTCATTTGAATACCCACATGCATTTTGATATATTTTTCATATATACATATATATAAATATATAATATATATGAAAAATTGATGTGGGTACTCAAATGAAAGGTCTTAATGAGTGTAACATCGGGATGAGCTTATATCTTTAAAAATGTCAATAGTTCACAAGATACAAGGTCGTCTCTTAATTATGTATCTAGAGATAGAGCATTTTCAAATGCAGCCTAAATACTTATCAACATAAATTGACTATTGGTGAGCATGATATGAAACCATGAAAAGGCATAATTCCAGGTCAAGATCTTTCTAATTATACCAAATTTAACCATAAAAACCCATTTTATTATATAAATACACTGATCACAAAATTTTTCTTATTAATGTTGATTATTTTGTAAAAAAAATTACTTTTTATTAATTATTAGTAATAATTTGAAGTTAAAAATTAAAATTGACTGATCAAAAAAAAAGTAATTTATTTTTTCAATTTTTACTTAAAAAAAATAAATTACATAATTATTAATATTAATTCAGAACAGTTTCTTTATAGATCCTAATTTTGATTAAACAGCCAATAATTATTACATTAAAAAAATGAAATCCCATCATGTTAATTTACAAATTAAAAATATCAAACTTCTTTCAGTTTCGGTCCCGAGGGTGTGAAATTACGTCCTGCGGAAGCATTCCCTCCAACAGCATTTAGCGAGACTGAAAATGAAAATGATGACGATGATGACGATGACATCACAGAATACTTCGAGTTGGAGGACGATACCGACAACAAAAAAGACATAAACCAACTGCCGTCTAAAAACACCGCGGTAGCAGGTGCCATTCAACCAGCTGACGAAGAAGAAGAAGAAGATGATGATGATGACGATGATTATTCATTAGGCCTAGATGCTTTTCTTGACATCATAACCGGAGATGACGAGACTGAGAAGAAGAAACCAGCCGCTGTAGCTCCGCCGCCTCTTACTGTTCTTCCACTTATCAACAAACCAACTCGTAGACCGATTGTTGCTCATCCAACCACTAAAGCTCCTAAAGTTCAAGCCGAAACTTCGACTACTGAAGCACCGATCGTCGAAATTGTTGGTCCCTTTGGTTTCAATGCTGAAAGTTCAACGGAGGTTTCTTTGAAAAACGGAACTGAAGTCGCGGAAGAAGAAACTACTGAAGCTATCACCGAATCTTCAGTAGCTTTAGAAGTAGAGTCCAGCACAGATGTCTCTGAAATGAGTGATTCTAACAAGACAGAAGCAGTACTTGAAGCTGCTGCGTCTGATGATAACAAACAAGTTGTCAAAGTGGAAAAAGTGCCAGTAATTAAAAAAATAATTGTCGGGGTTACTGATAAGAAGAGTAGTATCACTTCAAACAGCGTTAATGCGATAAAAAACGACGTGAAGAAACCTTTAGCCAAACCCGCGAAGCCGGATCTTAGTGCTGATTCTCACAATACACATGACAGTGAAAATGATGATGATGCTGAAGATATTGAGGATGATGATGAAGACGACGAAGATTTGCTCAGTGAAGCTATAAGTGACGACGATGATGAGGAAGAAGAAACGGAAACCAATGAAGATGAAGAAGATGATAATGATAAGCTCGAAGCTTATTCTTCAACGGAAGGTGACATCAAACGACCAACTGATGATGACCATGAAGAAGTCAGTGATGAAGATTTACTCGATGATGATGATGATGATGATGACGATAATGATGATGAAGAAGAAGCCAGCTTGATGTCCGAGATTATTGGCGACGATGATGATGATGAAGATGATAAGAAGAAAAAGAAGAAAAACAAAAATTTATCGACTACTGAAGCTTCTAAAAAAGACGAATACAGCATCAGCGATATTTTGAACAGAAAAATTACCAGGCGTGGAAGACAAAGCAAGGTTATGAGGCTGTAAATTTATTTAAATTTTTTGTGTTGTAGATTGAATTATTTTACCACCGGACTATAGTAGAAAAGTTAATTGGGGGTTTTTGGTACCTAAGGTATCAAGGAAATTTATAATTTGAGTAGTATTTAATTATTTAAAGTGCAACGAGTTATAGGTCAGCCATATTTTAATTACTAAACTCTTGTAATATAATACATGTATTTATTTATTTAATTATTTATATAATTATTTAATGTATTTAAGTAATAAAATGAAAGTAATGATTAAATTTTGTGTGGATTTTTTTTTAATAAAAATAAAAATTTTTTTAGTAAAAAATGGAAAAGTATAATCATAATATTTTTTTTTTTAATTAAATTTTTCAATACAATGAAAATACTATTTAAAATAAAATTTTTGCTGGTAAATTAATTTATCAGAATTCTTCAAATAAGTTTATAAATTTTTGCCATTGAAAATAAAATTTAACAAAAAAATTTAGATTTATTTTAATTTTACAAGAATTATACTCTTAAAATTTATTGAAAATTTTTTTACCTAAAAATAATTTATTTTATAAGAAAAAAGTGTCATTTTTTATTCAAAATTAATAAAAAGACAAATGCATTTAAAAGAAAATTAAAATTAAATAAATTTACATTAGAGACAATAAAGATTATAATAAATAATAAATTTCTGACAACAATAATAAATGTAATTTACTACACTAGATGGTAATAAAACTCAAGTAATAAACTTGAACTTGCATTAGACAAATAATAAATTGCCGGTACCATAAATTACTAAAGAAAGAAGAAGAAAAGAATTGCAAATATAATTAACTAACAATTTAAAGTCACCTTTACAATTATGATTTGAATACTGTCTAAAAAAACTAATAATATCATATATATATATAAATAAATACTAGCATTGTTATGTATGTGTGTCATCAAGAGGATAAATCAGCAAGACCACAAGCATTCGGAGTTAAAAGAGCGGTTTGCAAAACTTTCTCTGGAAAGTTATTCATTTTTTTTTTATTATTTTTATTATTTTGCATAGGGAGTGTGTATATTAATGTGTGAGTACCATCCTCCCTATAAAATTACCTCTCGAACGGTACATAACAGGGTAAGCGGCAGTACTTTTCAAGCACTCGTAAGCTTATCATACACTTGACTGAACTTCCACTCATCTGTTGTTTTAAAATAAACACTTTTAATTCTACCTCTTTATTTATTTTTATTCTTTCATAATGTTTACCTCAAAATTGTTTCATTTTTATTTGAGTGGTTTATCTTTTTTATTGATAACAGTGTTTTTATTTCCCGACTCCGTTCAATCACAATCTAACGCAAAGATTACGCCATCAACTAAAAGGTTTCCATGTAAGTATATATTATAATAATAATTATTTATAATTAATTTTCTTAAAGTAAATCTTTTGATTATTTTCTTTTAGTAATGATGCCGAAGAAATCAATTTATTATGATTTGGGAAGTCGTAAGCCGTATGAATTAGAACTCGACGATACAGAAAGATTTCCAGATTCACCTTTAAGATATGTATCACGCAGTGCTAATGGATGCAGCTGCAGTAATTTGACATGTGGATGCTGCGCTGGTGTTAATTTAGAATTTTTCAATTTTGACCAAAAAGCTTGCTCGAATATCACAATGGTTCCCGAAGAATTTGCCATGGATTTCCGGCTAATTATTAATGATAATGAAGTTATGAAACAACGTGTCACTGGTAAGATTACTATAATTGTTAATAATTATGACACTGAAGTTAGCAGACGTCTAAAAATTTTTGATTTTTTTTTTAAATTAAATTACAACTAAAAAAAGATTTCTAAAAAATTGCACTTGTAGTTTTTCAAGTTTTTTACATGTGAAATTTTTTATTTAATTGTTTAATTGAAATTTTTTCAATAAAAAAATTTCTAAAAATTTTTTAATGTCGGCTAACTTAATTTTCATTAATAATTTTATTTTTACAAATATTTTGATAAATAATATTTAATATTAAATAAGAAGAAATATAACTTAATTAATAATAAAAATGAAAAATATAAGGGGGTACTCTGGTCTAGAAATTTGAGAAAATCGATTTTTTTTTTGCATAATTTTAAAACTTAACACTTTAAGAATATGTTCCTAGAAGGATTTTAGAAAATTCGAATTATTTTAGGAGATATTGCTGTTTTTCTGACGTGGCATCTAAACCGGCCCGGCCGGAACTAGACTGCGAGAAATTTTACGCGAAACTTTAAACGCGTTTTTCTAGAAACTGTCTTTTTTAAAACGATATCCACGATTTCTCAAGTTCTACTGAACCGAATCACTTGAAGTCTATAATAAAAATATTAATTCCCTTTTTTTTTACGGCTTTTCAAAAATGACCTCAAATTTATGGTTCTAGACCAGAATACCCCCTTAAGTCGAAAACTTATATTTCATCTTAATTATATTTAAAAATTATTAGTAAATTATTTATTTCATGAAGAAAAAAAAATAAAATTACAGTTTATATTAGGGTGCGTCAAAATTTAATCTTTGAAAGCAACCTTTTGAAATTGGAATTTTGAGTTTTGCTTTTAACAGGAGCTGTATTAGGGCATTTCCTAATATATTTTGGTGTGTCACGATTTATTTGATATTCACAGAATTTTTTAATAGGAGCTTCGTTTGGCCAAATTTTGAAATTTTTAAATTTCAGAAAAAATGTTTAAACAAAACTACTGTTAAAAAATTATGTGAGTATCAAATAAATCCTGACACATCAAAATATCTCAGGAAATGCCCAAACCTAACTCCTGCTATAAGCGGAACTCAAAATTCTAATTTTAAAAGGTTGCTTTTAGAGATTAAATTTTAACGCACCCTAGTTTATATATTAGTAATTAAAGTCGCTTCGAAAACAAAACTGAAAAAATTACAGTTTAAAATAACATATTTAGAAATTCAATTTTAAATATTAATTTTCACATCTTTGAATGTAATTTTACATTTTAAAGAATGTAATTCTTATAAAATTTGTAAAAATTACAATCTGAAACTGTAATTTTTTTTTTTTTGAAGCGCCACGTTACAATATAAAGTGTAAATTTTTTTTTTTTCCGTATATTTATCACATTAAAAAATTTGATATGAAAAAAAAAAAAAGATAAACCAACGAGTTCGTGTTTTTATCATTATTGTCGACTTCTAATATATAAATTAGATTTATTAAAAATAATTATTCAAACAATAAATATGTTTGCAGGTAGAAATCCTCCGCCGTTGTGCATGCCATTGAGTTTCTTACCGATTGTAAGTTTCTGCGTCCGCGTCTACGATATCGGCATAATTGATAGAAAAGTTCGTGCATGCGTTGATTTCGAGACTCGCATAACATCCTGGCCAATTTTCGTTCTTCATTTTAATTGTGTCAAAGTGGGGACCGACGGTGTCACCTGGGTGCCAACTACAACTCACAACAAGCCAACAGCAGCTCTTGAAACGAGTTTCAATCCTTCGAAGCCCGGGTTTTTGGTGCCTGAAGTCTACGATGAAGTTAATTTCGAGCAGTCTGACCAAATAGTTGCCTCAAATGTTTCAGAAATCGTCACTCATGATCTACCGATTGGTTCTCTTAAAGTCTAGTTTATTAAAAAAAATTATTTATTTATTTATTGTTAAAAATACAAAGAACTTTTCTCCTTTTTCTTGTCAACTTTTCTTCTCATCTTTTATATTTTATTTATGTTTGTATTAATTATAATCAAACAATTGACGTAGAAAGTGTTAACTATCTGTATACACAAGGTGAGCAAATAATGAGTTGTTTTATTTTATTTTATTTTATATATAATGAACCTAAATTTCTCCTTTTGTAAAATGAGGCCATCATCTCTTGGAGAACAGTCGTGAGCGGTTCGTCGTTGAAACCACTTGACTCTTCACCGATTAGTAATTTTATAAAATTTGCGCTTTTATTTATTAATTTATTATAAATTAAACCTGTGATTCCAATGGCTCGATACTTTTACTGGTTACTTTCGACGATAATTATTAATTTATCGTTAATTAAAAATTCAGATAATTCTGTGGTAATAAAAAAATCAGTGGATGGCTCGCAAAGTTTAATGGCAATAGCTAATTATTCAAAGCAAGCCAGCCCGATTAATTTTAACAATACTTCTGGAGTTTCAACGACTAATAATAATATTGTTAATAACAATACAACTGAAAATAAAGAAAGGGCGTGTAAATGCGGCGGCGGTGTTTGCTCTTGTTGCTCAAAGTTATTGTACGACAGATGGAAACAAAAAGCCTGTGTTGAAGTTATTTACGAACCGGACGAATTCAGTTTTACGGCAAAAGTAATGTTCAATGACCGGGTGCTCTACACGAGGAGCGTATCCGGCAAAAATCCGCGGCCTATTTGTGTTCCGTTTCCTAGAATTCCTCTGGTGAGGGCTTGCGTTAGGTTTTATAATATTTACTTTCAAGGACGCAATGTACATATGTGCGTCAGCATGGAGGGAAGGTTCGATGACACCACGCTCGTTAAGGTAAACTTCCGTCATTATTTTTATTAATTATGAAGCTTAAATTGCTTGCGATATTCTACAATATTATAAAAAAAAAAAATTAATATTTGTAATTATTCATGTTTCTCTAAAAAATTGAAAAAAAAATTAAATAATTTTTTTTTTTTAATCAGTTTATTTTAAAAATAATAAAGTAAAAGACCCCTGTTACTGGCACTTTTTCTTTCAATGAAAAAATTTTCTACTTGGAATAAAAATAAAAAATTTTTTTGATCTAAAAATAGTCTATTAAAAATAATTTATCCATCATTAAAATTAATGATTTCATTAATTGAATTAGTACCAAAATCAAAAAAACTGTTTTTATTTTTCACTACAATATATGAATTTCAAATAATTTTTTTCCTTCAATATCTCCATCAACACGGAGAAAAATTAATTATACTACCTACTATACAAAAATAGTAACTCCTACTATCTAAAATGGTAATAAAATTAATTAGTAACAAAATAATAGGTGGTATCATTGACAATTGTAATAGTTACTATTAATAATGGTAACGATTACTATCGAAAATAATAATTGTAATTATTATAAATTATAACTGTTACAATCAAAGATGGTAACTGTAACCATCTCAGATTGTAAAAATTCTGAAAGAAAAAATAATATAAGTTTACTTAACAATTAAATCCTTTATTTACATCTAATTTTATCTAATGTACATTTTTTTCTTAATATTTTTTACTAGCTTAGATAGTAGCTATTATTATTACTGATGGTAACTGCAATCATCAGGTTATATTAGCAATTACGATTTTGATAATAGTAGTAACTAATTGAACTAATAACAGTTATTATTACCGATTACCATCATAATAGTAGTAGTTACCATCAGGATGATAAATACTGCAATTCAGATAGTTTACTTAATTATTTAAATAATATTACTGATAATAAACTCTACTATAAAATTTTCTCCGTGAATAAATGAATAAAAATTTTTTTAAATGTCGAACTGGAAAGAATATAGAACCGATCTCTATAAAACTTAAAAGAAAAAAGTTGCATTCAAAGTTTTGAAGAAAATTTTAGGATTTTACAGATGATCAGTTTTTCATTTGTAATCTTAATCTATATTTGTTGAATTATAAAATAATTAAATTTGTTGTTTATTTGAAATACAAATAAAAATTCAAAGATATATTTATTATTTATTTATTTATTTAAAAAGGTCCCTTCGCTCTATAGTTCAGTCAAATGAAGTGTATTATCCAAATGTTGACAAATTCAATTAAAGTATACAAATGATAAATAATAAAATTGAAAACTTAACTTTATGAATTGATTATTGAAATTGAAAGAATTATAAAATAAATTCATGAAATAAAATAAAAATTATTAATAATTTCAAAACTTTATTTCAAATATAAAAAAATCAAAAAACGAGTTGGTATTTTTACAAGTATTTTAATTTTTGGATATTTTGCCATAAAAATAAACTGAACGATAAAAGTTGAAAAATTATTCTACTAAAAAATTATATTAATATGATGTTTAAATTTTATTTCAACTGCGCAATCATAAATTCAAATAAAAATTGCAGGCTGGACTAGATTGCATAAGAATGGGCGCTAATGGTGTCGCTATAGTAAGACCTGAAGACGGTACTGGATTAGGACAACTGGAATTTTTACCTGATTCGCCAGAAGACAATCAAGGTGATGATTATAGCGACGATAGTGGAAATAATAACAACAATGCTGACAATGATAGTGATGATGATGATGAAGACGATGGAGATGATGATGATGATGATGATGAAGATGAATATCTTTAAGTAATATCACTAGGATAAATTAATATAAATAATTATTTTTTTGTTATATATTAAAAATTTTATTAACAAAAATAAAAGTTGATATTTTACAACACTTTTTTATTATTAAAAACTACACAAAACCATTTTCACAAATCCATGATGAAATAACGTCTCTCATCACTAAAAATTTCCACAGTTTTGTTGTAGTATCCCAGAGTACATCGACAAACGAAGTGATGTGCAGTAAACAATAATCGAATTTGTAATTTTGGATTTTGTAAAAGATCATTTCGCTTAGCGCGAATAAAACTTTTTAACTTTTGACAATTTATGTTCAATAAAGTGATCACAGATTTTACTCGCTTTTATATCAACCCAATAAAGCTGATAATATAATTTGTCAATGAAAGAAAAAAAAATAGTTCTATCTATTGATATTTTAGCATGTGTATCATTGGCCTGATGAACTTTGCTCGATAATTCGTGATCTCGTGACTCGCACGCACGATCAGACAAATATTATCGTATGTAATGTGATTGAATTGTAATAATAATTATTAATTATTATTATTAGTATGTATACTGAAATGAATGTGTGTAATAACCGTAGCTACTTTCACTACCTGTTTCCCAAATAAAACAATTATTTTCCCGGTACTCGAGGTGTCACATCAATTAGTACTTCCTAGCGACAATCAGCGAGCTGGCAAAAATTTAGTTTTTGAATCGCTATTTCCGATGAAACACCTCTGTCAATGTGACCTGTTTCATTTTTTCTGTTGATTTTTTTAAGAGTAAAAAGTGTGATAGAATGTTTTCCAATATACTTCTTACGATGTTTGTAATTAACGTTTATTTAATAACAAATGGAGGTACTGATCATGTCGGGATTTTAAGTTCGAGGGAGAAAGTTGTAAATCGCAGAAATAGTAGGAATTTATTTTTTACAAGATCTAGAGTATTTAATGAAAGAGCTTGTTCGTGTATGACAGAAGTATCATGCAGTTGTTGTGAAACAGCTTTCATGCTTTTTCATATGATGAATCGTAGAGGTAAGTAGTATAGTAACAGTGTAACAATAAGCAAAGATTTCAAGAAATTTATGATTTCTTCTTTAATGTACTTACGAGCTTGTTAAAAAAAATTTTTAATAGTGATTCCCACATTGACGGATTAAGATACGATAGGTGTCATGGTACAATATTGTCAAAAAATTAGATTAATATATTTAAAAAAAAGATTTTTAAAAAACAACGAAAAATTCTTCGAATCAGGAATAAGCGATGTAAAAAAAAATTTCACGATATCTTCGGCAATTTTCTCAATCTGCCCACCGCCAGATTAAGGAAAAACTTCATAATTTTTATAATTTTCTTACTGCGCTCTTTGGTGTATTAAAAAATAAATTCAACAAATCGACAATTACAAAAAAATAATGATTTATTTTTTAAAACACTTAAAAAAAATTTTTCAAGAAACCAACGATATATTTTTTAATATATTCTCATGATAATATTGAGAAAAAATTTCAAGAAATCGTTGATATGTTCCTTTATATAATGTACGTATTAACATTACTGTTGACTCCTTTTTTAGTGTGTGCTAATATTATGTATCAACGAAATGGCCTGAATATCGATCTTACAATTGACGGAAATATTCTCACCTCAATGACAGTTACAAGTAAGTAGTAAGGAATTAATTTTATTTCTTTCTATGTTTTTCAGTCATGGATACAAATATACTGAGAAAAAATAAAAATTATGTTCAGACGCGGATTTTTTGATCAAAGAATTTGTTAGAATGAATAATTTAGCACATTAATTTTTAGACAAAAGAATATCAAGATTTGTTTTCATTATTATAAGCAAAAAAACGAACAGCTTCACTTGAATTAAATAAAAATTCTTTAGACAAGAAAAAATTATCCCGACAAAAAAGTACATTATTGGAAATTTACAAGAATATACTTTCTTGTGTCAAGAACATAAATTTTTATAAGTATTTTTTTCTGAGTGTATAATAAATCTTCTTATTTAAATGAAAATGTTTCGTAATTTCTAAATAGTACAATTAATTATTATTCATTAAAATTAAGTAAAATAGATCAATAATATTTACATCTTCGCATTATAAATGCGATGATTAATAAAAGTTTTTGCGCCATAACTTTGCAAGTTTGTTATCAAGTATTTATAATTAAAACAACGATTATTTCCAAGTATGTAATATTGTGAGCTAAAAATTTTCATAATGATATTATGAAGTATTGATATAAATAATCCAACGTTAAGTATTAAGTAAGACAAATTTAAGATATCAATATCAAATAATTTATTATTTCAGTCAAACTTGACATAGATGTTTTTTTTTTTTTTCAGATTACATGCCATTTAAAATGTGTTCAGTAATTCCTGGAAGCTTATCTTCAAAAGTTTGCTTGAATATTTTGGAGCTTAACATCTTTTCTCGATCAATAACTGTCTGTCCAAGACTGGATTTTATGACACAAAATCACCGATGGATTTTAACTTACACTTGTATTAGTATATCAACTCTTCTGCCTGACGTGAACATGGCAATGCCAATGAATTCGGCGATAATAGTCAAGTCTACTACAAATCAGCCCCAAAGTTCCACAAGTCGTCCACCAAGTCAGCAAATACAAACCGCGCCAGCGTCGAATCAAATGATATCATCATTGAGCGTAAATTCACCAAGTCCAATGGCTTCAAAGCCACAATCAACTGTTGGTTCATCAGAACCAGCTTCTGCTGAAACTAAATCAACTAGTCCAATTGTTACAACATCGACATTTAAAATGAAGCCAAGTGTAACTAGATCAGCTACTTCGACGGTCACAATGATGACAACTAAACCAATCCCAAGTAAAACCAAGCCAGCTACTGCACCAATGAGTACTACGAAACCTACTGAACCAACTTCTTGCAAAATGACTTCTGAAAGTCCTCCAAAGTAATTATAGAAAGTTAGGGTACTACACTCGGTTATAGAATTATCGTTCAAAATTTAATGAGACTTGTTATACTAGTACATTATAATAAGATAAAAAATCAATTAAATTTTTTAAGGGCTACAGAGAATCCGAAATAATATATTAGAGTAAAGGAATCAAATATTGACCACCCGTGTAAAAAAAAATCGTCTTAAAATTGTCGTTAGTTTAAGATCTTAAACGTGACACAAACTAAGACTATTTTAAGATTCTTTTAAGATGCCACAAAAAAAAAAATTCCGAGATTTTTTAATAATTATTTTGATTTTTTTAAGACTATTTTAAGATTTTTTCAAAACGATTTTAAGATTTTTCTAAGACTATTTTAAGATTTAAGTTTTAAAATAATTTTTATATAGTCTTGAAAAATCTTAAAATAGTCTTAAAGAAATCTGAAAAAAAAATATTAAAAAATTTTTAGACTATTTTCAGATAACATCACAGTGGCAGCTCCGGAAAATTATTATGGAGCGTCTTTAAATTGTCTCAAAATTATCTTAAATTAGTCTTAAAAAAATCTTAACAAAAAATTTAGACTATTTTAAGATGGGTTAACAGCGACAGAGCCCCGGAACATTAAAACGGAACGTCTTAAAAAAGTCTTAAAATTGTCAGATAATAATTTTTTAACAATTTTAAATTCAATTTAAAAACATCTTACTCAAAAATATTGCGATTAGAAAGTCGTAAAATCATCTAAAAATTAATTTTCACAACAAATTCGAGAACAAAATTTTCAAAAATCTGCTCTTGGAATTTTTCTTTTGGCGTCTTAAAAGTCTTAAAATAGTCTTAGTTTGTGTCACGTTTAAGATCTTAAACGAACGACAATTTTAAGACGATTTTTTTTTACACGGGCAGGTAGTACAACAATTTGATTAAAAAAAAGCACCATTCGACCACACCCGACATGATTAGCAAGATTTCTTGTTTAAATATTGAAAAAAACACGGTATTAGAAGGCAATAATAATCTAAAATTTATTTTTTATTAAATTTTTGCTAATAACGATATGAGATCGACTACAACAAATAGAGATTCAAAGACATCTACCTAAAAAATAGGATTTGTAACAGATGAAAGTCATTTGATGATAAAAGCTGAAAATTAATTTATTCTTGATTTTTTTTTTTAATTCTCTGCTAAAAAATGAATTAAAAAAAGTATTAAAAGTCGACGAATAATAGCTTAAATTGAAGGTAATTAAATCTGGAAAATTATTTCCATAAAATATACCAAATTCAAAATTTTTTTAAAATAAATATTTCATAAAAATTTAATTTTATATTCAGTACTTAATTATCAATTTTTTTTTATACTTTAAATTAAAATTCGCACATGCACATAAATATATACAGTTATTATAATAAAAAAATAAGTTTGCGAACAAATTTCAAAAAGTTGTGAAAATTAGTCATTAGAACTTAACTTCGCCGTGTTTGGTTAATACATGCATTATCAATTTATATATAATTAAATACTTTATAATCAATAAATAAATATTTGTCAAAACAATTTAATATAGAAGATTGATTATAAATAATTTTTGTTATAAAAATTATGTTAATAATTGAAATAATACTCTGATCAACAATTGGTGTTGTATATTATTCAATATGCTTAATATCAGTATAGTATGAATTCTGCATAATATTATTGGTCACTATGTGGAACATAGACGATTAATATTTAGTAAGTAATAATCGTTAACATTCGGAGTAATCGACTATAATATTAATTATTACAATTTAATGATTATTATTATGTATTTTATCAACAAAAGTATCATAGTTTGTCAGCCTTTACTTTAATATAAAAAAAATTAAAAGTTATACATAAATGAAATCACCGAAAACGTAATTTCTCCTATTTTGATCATTTTGAAGAGCTACTATTTCTGAACTAATCGAAGGATTTCGCTCATTTTAAGGCTCATGTAAGCTAATTGTCAAAGGAATTTGTATACTAAATTTCATTGGGATCTGTAACGAATTCTCGACAGAATAACATTCATAAGTCGGCTGCACTACACATT